CGGTGTGTCCCGTGTTTGAAAATAATACTGGCGTATACTATCGACGCGTTTACGTCGGGACACGTGAGTAATAACGAAAGAGAGATAGAGATAGCGAGAGAAAGTGTGAAAAAAAAACAGACACGAGAGAAGATACAGTGCGCCCCCAGGATTTCACGATGGATCGACTCGACCCTGTTGAACGTCTCCTCCATAAGCTTGCCCAGCCCTGGCATTCGAAACTCGCGAGAAGCATCTACTGATGTTGCTCGACTGGCGAGTTAGTTAGTAGAAAGCTTGTTGAACGATTAGACGGAGATGATCGAAGTATGGGTATGATAGATATGTTCGCGGAGACAGAAAGCTAAACAATTTCGACGACTTCAGTAACAATTTGATTTCAGCTCCGAAATTTTCGAAAGTATTCCAATAGATCTTGTTCTTTTCTTTGCTCGAGTTAATTAGACGGTATTACCGTTATTAGCTGTTACATCGATTCTTTCAAAATTGTCAAGGCTTTCAAAAATGGTTGAAACGCGATCGCGTCGTTCGGAATGGTACCGGAGAATGTATCGACTACCCATCACAGTACAAGCAGATATATTTTCTATGTGTCTATATAGAATATATGCGAGAATAGAGAAAGAGACAGACTGGAAGAAAAAAAAACAGCGATAGAGAATAGAGAACAGCGAAGAAACAGAGAAGAAGATAGAGAGGCAGAGATAGAGAGAGAAAAATAGCGGGCAAAGAGGTCGGCGACGGGTCGCCGAGGTAAAAAAATTCAAAAAAAGATCAAAAATAAGGAGTGAGCATATGGCGAGCGATGGGCGAGAAAAGTTTTGCATTGCGGCACTTCATATCCACGCGAAAAAAAGAAAAAATTCGTCTGTTCGGCTGCGGTGTTGATCTCTCGTAGAGGATCCACGCGTGATCGTCGTTTCATAGGAAATGAACATTTCGTAGAAAACAAAAGGAGTGTGTACACTGCTGTCTGAAAGTTTCAGACCACTTTTCCCCCTTCTCGAAAATATTCTAAAGTCAGACTCCAAAAAGATCCGAGATCTCTCGCGGAACATTTACAATTCTATTTACTCGTGAAACACTCGAGGAACTAAACAATGTGAAACCTCATTTCCCAATGAAGATACCGAGAAATTTTCAACGAAATCTTCGTCGAACGATTAATACAAGTATTCGTAATTTCAATGAATCCAAGGCTCATTGAAACGAGTCGCTCAATTGTCCTCGATCCACAAATCGTCGAGAACGTTCAAGCGGTCCAAATTCCTCCGTCCGCAGTGTACACAAAGAACGGACTGAAAGAAAAAGGCGGTGGTTGGATCTCACCGAATCGCAGGACTGACCAAGATTATACAGTAGAAACTGGAACGGTCGACGACATTAAACGTCTACCCGAGACGGGAACGTAGAGAATACGAAAAAAGAAACAAAAATCGTGTTCCCTTTCCCGCGTTCGTTTTATTTTCCACTTAGCTATCAACGTCAGAGAGAGACACAGAGAGAGTCAAAGAGAAAGATAAAGACAGAGAGAGAGAGAGAGATAGATACAGAAACAGAGAGAAAGATTAAAGATAAACCGACGGATACAGGAAAAGAAACTCCCGGTCGTTTCTTTTCCTTGCGTTTTTTCCATTTCTCTTGTTCGATTTTTGATTGCTGGAAAGCCACTCAACGTGTTCTCTAAGAGAAACATCGTGAAAGAGAGAAAGAACTCAAATAGAGACGTGTATGTACAGAAAGGGAAGGGGTGCGGCGAAATCGCAGGGAGCGCAACGCGAGGGGAGACAGTCAGCGGGGTTGCACGGAAAAAAAATTATGTAAAACAGTAACGTGCGACACGCTGGCTAGCGTTCCCCCTTCCCCTCGCATTGTACCCGACGTTTTTCACCGGTTCCCTTTCCCTTTTTTCCGTCTGAAAGAAAGACGGTTCGGGGGTTGGAGTAAGGGCTTTGCTCATTCTCTTTTTTTTGTGGTTGTTTCTTGTTTTTCTTATTGTCTCCTGTACCTCGTAGTCCCTTTTCCGAACTTCACGCTCCAAATCCCACTTCTGACCCTCACAAAGGTAGACGCGGTCGTAATACATTTGGCAAATCTCCTTCAAATCGTCTACAAAGAACATGGAGTGTCTCAGATATCTTCCATTCGCGGAATACGTTGTCTTCACTAAATAGCCAGGAGGCAGGGTGAACGAGAGAGAGAGGGATAGAGAGGGAGAACGAAAAATTCTCCAAAAAGTCGAAGAATCATCGGCGGTTCTCAAAAAGATCAAAAAGAAGGCTCGTCAATCGAGAAAAAATAGTCTCTGAAGCGGACGGCCTGGCAAAAGGATTGCGAAATCTTCCTATTCGTTTGTCGGATTCTTCCCCTCTTTCCCACTCCGCTCGTTGACAAAAATCCTGGGAAATTCGAATGGTACATTTATGGCGCTATCGGTGCGCAAAAAACAAACCCGAGAACCGACACGAACGTGACTTGCTCTGAAATATCTCCTTTCCGTTCAAATGGAAATCGTCCTATCGGCCTCCATTTGTATCGGGTGAAACGATACACTGGGTCGGCACACCCTCGAGACTTCGCTGCTCGGCGATCCTCTAGAATCTGGCGCGCAGATCTATCCGCGCGAGAAGATGCGTCGCCTTCGCGCGCGAAAATCGAACAAAAAGTGACGAGAGACGTTTGAAAAATGCGCGGGAGACGTGCGACAAGATGGCGAGGCGGCAGAAGTGTCGAAGGCGCGCCGGAGCCGCGGCGCTAGAACGGCGGAAGAACAACATCATCGGCCAAAATTCGCAATCGCAACGGCACACGGTCGACGACAATTGCGGCACAAGTTAAAAACGAAATCCAAAAATGAATCACGTGGTGGGAGGCCAGACAAAAATAGTCTGTTGCGGGAGAGACACGTTAAGGCTTTTCTTTCAGGCGAGCCGATCGTATTTACCTCGAATTCTTTCAACCTAATTTGCCTCTCGAGGTCAAACTTATCGCCCTCGAGCGCGTGTACTCTGTTCCAATATGCCGAACAGATCGTCTGGAGCTCGGCTAGAAGAACAAAAGTTTCTCACAGAAGAGAGAGCAATAAGGGGTTACTGGGATCGGGTGGAATTCGCTTGGGCCGGGGCACGCTGACGGCCATCTTGTGGCTGTTACGGCTACGCTGGTGTCCTACCACTGCGCGAACAGTTTTCCGAGCCAAAAAACATATGATCCTCGAAAAAAATGTTTCTCTAGATGGTAGTTGTTGGATCGATCGATCGAGACATGTATATTTTCTACTTCTGATACCCTCGTCTTTGTTCTTTGGAACAACTTCATTGTTATCTTTGAATTTCAATGAGACGTTGACTGCCTTGCTATTTGTAACGTTTTGATATGAAATGTTCATGAATTCAAATGAACATGAAATGTTCCAAGTGCTAAAAATGATTCCCTCGCCTAAAGTGACAAAATCGCGCGAAGAAAAAATAGATGCACAATCAAATCGCGTGGCAGTCAACGCGTGAACACCCCAGCAACCGAACCAGTTAAATCACAGCGAACGTTGCGAAACATTCAGTTTCCAGATGACATCACATTAAACCGAAGTAATCGTAAATCTTGTAAAATTCCGAGCCAATGAAGCGGAACTCGTCCGTTAAGAAAAATCATCGACCAACGCGTACCCTGAACGTAAATCTCCGGAGTAGTTCATTCGGAATTCTAAGATGAGAAAGAACCCCAACTCGGTTGCTGAAGTGTGAAGATTGCTATTCTGTATCGAAAGGTTGATCGCGGACAGGGGAGAAGAATCATGGGATAAAGAGAGAAAGAAAGAGTGAAAGAGACAGAGAGAGAGAGAGAGAGAGAGAGAGAGAGAAAGAGAGAGAAAGATAGAGAGAGAAAGAGAGAGTGATAGAAAAATAATGAGATAGAAAGAGAGAGAAAAATAGAGATTCTCGCGTTTATAAGCAAGAAGCACGAAGCTGACAACTGCGTGAACGTTAACCTGACACGAAGGAGGGCAGAGTGAATGATGGGAGTCGTATTCACGGAGATTTTTGTGTCGGAGAAAATGGGACGTGTGGACTATTTGCCTACGCGCAAAGAAACGAGAAAAAGAAAGAGAGAAAGTGAAAGAGAGATAGAGATAAATAGGTAGAGTATGAGAGAGAGAAAGAGAAAGAGAGAGAGTGAGAGATAGATTGATAGAGAGTGAGAGTGAGAGAGAGAGAATGAGAGAGATAGAAAAAGGATATGAAAGACTGTTGTTCTACTACAAACTGCTCACGAAAGGATCTATAGGTATCAGCGTTATGTATTATACACTGTATTATTTCATTATCTACTTGGCTGCGATTCTACGATCCGCGGCGTGCCTGCATCGGTTGTTTGTGTGTACCTGTGCGTATGTATTCTTTACATCGCTCTCGCTTTGCTTTCTACGTGTTCGCATTCGTTTTGTTTGTCTGCTTGTTCGTATGTTGGTTTGTTTTTCACTCTAAATATGTACGCACGCTCTATGATAGTAGATCTACGCTACGGGTCAGACGATTGGCCATACGCTACGTTAGATTTTCTGATGCGAATTAGAAACGGTGATTCAGCCTCGATGCCTAAACTCAACGTAAGTACATACGTTAGCCGCAAAACCTCTCAAAATCTCTGTACGCAAACGTACAAAAAGAAAAAGAAAGAAACAAAAAGAAACGTTTGTTTGTTTGTTACTCAGCACTGCGGTTTAGCGAGAAAACCTCCTTTGCGTTCTAATGTAAGAATATCTATGGACAAACAAGTATTTCGAACTCCACAATGGAACTGACTTTCGAACAAAATACGAAAATAAAAAGATAATAGAAAAGAATGTGGAAGGCAACGAAATAGACTAACAGAGAACGATAGGTGGAGAGCAAAAAAAAAGAAAAAAAATACAGAAGAAAAAAATGGTTCTGTTCTATTTCTGTTTCTTTTGTAATGTTAATTGCAACTGTCGTCGTTTGTGCATCGGAAAACATTTCGACCTCGAAATCCTTCTTGGCGACTTCGTACTCAAGGTCGTACTTCTGCCCCTCGAGAACGATGATCCTCTTATGATACTGGGTCAGAACGGACTTCACGTTAGCTGTCAAAATTCGAAGTCACCTTTGAAAGAACATATTTCGTTTCCGTCGGCACGCTTAGCTCTCTAGTTGCTCTTTTTTACTCCCCCCTCGGACGCTTCGTTTATCGCGTGGCGAGCGTACCGATAAGCGAGAAACCGGTCTACCGGTTCGTCGGCGTGAATAGGGTTAGAACAGTGCGAAAAACGGGTTCCGTTGAAATCATTGGCGGCGGTTTAACAGATGTTACGAGCGCCTGTCTCGACCGTCGACGGATTTGATCGACGATTGCATTGAGTGGACGTAATACTGATCGATCGCCACTTTTACGAACATTCGATTAACTTACATTGCAATCAGCTGGGAGCCCGAGTTGTCCAAGAGTTTTCGAGTTCGTAATACAATCTTCATGTTATTCCATCGATCGGTATCAATTTAAATTCAAATTCCAGAGATCGTATTACCGAGTCGAGTGAATCGTTTCTATTCAGAGAAGTTTGAATTGAATTTTACGAATTTGAATTTTACGAACTATGTCCGAAGCTGCTACAAATACTGAATTAATTTACCTCTAACGGAGGAAAGATTGAAAAGTCTGTCAAATGGAACTGTGTCGAATGAATCCGTGAAAGAAGCTTCTCCGCCTGAAACTGTACACGTGTTTTTCACCGGTGAAGTGCAAGCAATTCAGGGGACGCGCGTCGATCAATGTTATCGCCGGTTAATGCAATTGTCAGTGAATTCTCGTCGGTGAAAACAGCCCCGGTGATTTCAACGTGGCCCGTGACGGTATGCGGTAGAATCCGGTGTCCAAGCTGAATCAAAACAGAAAGTAAACGCTGCGCGTTGCTAGTGTGTCGTGTCGGATCCAGTTGGATCCTGGGCAACAGGGAACGGGGATCGATCGCGAC